TGAACCCATCCCCGTGCCCTCTTCATAGATAACCAGTTCTCCCCCACTTGGGGTTCGAACTACCACGCTCTGGCCCTCACAATCAAGCATAGCACCAAAACGGCTCAGCCAATCCATACCCACAATCATGCAGACATCCCCCATGGGGATAGGGATCAAATCGATCGGATAAGGCACCCCAATGATCTCCAGAATACAACCCTGATAAAATGATGATGCAAAAACCCCGTGTTTGTTGGCGATAGAAACTCGCAACGAACATTCTAGCTCCCCAATGGGCATATCAAACTCTCTACTGAATGATCGAGACACAAAGGACCGACTCGCACCCGAGTCAAACAACATTAGAGCAGGAAAAGAGTTCACTAGAAACGTACCTAATAGAGGCACACAGATAAGCATAACATAAAACATAATCAATAGAATAATGGATAGAAACATACCAGTAACAACATTTGGAGCTGCTCTGGCCTCCTCGGAAGTAAGCTGGAAAATGCGACCTCGAGCCCGCCCTGACTCCTATCAGTGATCCTCAAAGTAGCCAGCACGGAAACCTGCGTTGGCCTAGCAGCAAGCGATGGGTAGTTGGCCTTCACATGGCCAACCTGGTCGCAATGAAAACAAAGCCTGGAACTGAGTGTTGGGGCCTGCTGGGGGCAATCCCTCGCCATATGGCCCTGTCGTCCACGATTGTGGCACCCAGAAGATGATCGACAAGCACCCTCATGCACCTTGCTGCACTTCCCACAAGTGCGGCCCTTCCGGCCCCAAGATCTAACATCAGCGGTCTTAAAACCGCTTTGGCGCAGGCTGCGATTGTGCCGGGGCCGGCCTATGCTCCCTCTTCTGCAAATCAATATCAATCTCACGCCGCCTGGCAGCCTCCTGTATCTCCAACAAAGTACCATAGCGTTAGGTGGAAATAAATTGTCTGATCTCCGTCTTGGGCATGCTCAAGAAAAGGGTCATCTGAGCCTGCTCAGATGTAACAAACTCAGGGCAAAAAATATCCCTCTCTGTGAACATCTTGGTGATCTTCGTCACCATCTCAGAACCCAGCCCCAAATCCAGGTACTCCTGGGCCAACCTCTCACGCTCCACCAACGGTACCTATCGGGAGTGGAACATCTCATAAAACTGCTCCCAAGACACAACAGCTCTCTGCTCAGCAGAATATGAACTAGTAGCAAGCCTCCACCAATCCTTTGCTCCGGTCCTCAGAAGCTTCAGAGTGCACCTGACCTTCTGGTCAGCTGGACAAGAACAAGTGAAGAAACACCCCTCCACATCAGATAGCCACCTCATGGCGATGATCGGGTCCTGCACCCCATCGAAGGTCGGGGGCTTCATATTTTCGAAGTCCCGATACTGAAAAACCTGACCCGATCCAACCCCTGCAGCCGTAACAGCTGCAGCAGCAGCAGCCTTAGACAAAGCAGTATAGCGCTCATCAAAGTACTCAATCATGGCAGTCTTGATAGAACCAAATATCTCTGGCAACTGAGCTCGGAAACGAGCAACAACTTCCTCCTACATGATCTCCCTAATCCTGTTATCCAACGCATCTGAGTCACTTAGACAGCCAGCTCTTGATCCCGAACCAGACCCAGCCTCAACTCGACGTGTAGTCACCATACTTAAAATAAACCAAGAGGATAGCAGATAAACACACATATCATAACAGGGGAACCAACTCCCAACAAAGCCCTAGGGGTTGTGACTTCCTTGATATGCGTACGGGTTCTATGCTTTCGGTAGTATGGGCCCATACGACCTTCCACACCTACCCGTATTTGTCTCAGAGGATCATCACAACACCCTAACAATAGTCTCTAGCATACTCATACACTTACTCCTCATTCCCAAGAGGAAGGCTATATATCTAAAAACTAGCCGACTGACCCCATACAACTCATCCATGAATCTTCCACCAACCCTGCAGCACTTGTGTATGCTAGCCATACGTAACACTGGGCCCTATAGATAGTCGAATATTTGATCCTACCCTAAGCCCTTCATCAAACAAGAACAGGAAATAAGGCCAGAACAAACATTCTCAGGCTATAAAATCTTAGTTATGCATGACCATGATGCATACACTAAGCAACTAATGATGTCAATTCCATTAGAGAAGAACACTATGCTATCAGGCATCATATAATCAGGCAATTCTATCATGCAAAATCCTGAAGATCCCTAGCCTATCGCTAGCATGATGTTCTAACATATCACAATATCAAATAACAGTATGGTATTTTGGGGTCTACTTACTGGCTCCAGCTGATCGTACACATCACATCCTTCTTGATTATTTAAAAAACTATTTGAAAAATCATTTTAAAAATCTTTTTCCTTAGTTTGAGACTAGATTCAGACAAGTGTTCCTCCAATTCACTCAAACCAAGGCTCTGATACCAACTTGTAACATCCATAAAATTCATGAAATTTTAAACTTTTAAAACAACCCATAAATCATCATTGTTTACAAATAGTTTTCAAAACAAGTTTAATATCAAAGTTTTCCCAAAATCATAAAAATCAAAACTCGAGGAGGTGCACGATCACGCCTTCGCCTTCCCGCGATCCTAGGAGGTACGTCAAACATAATCCAAAACTGTAAGACCAAAGCTTAGTGAGCTCCCCCAAAATAACAATACACATAAAAATAGCACATATACAATAACAGCATGCAATGGGTCCACAACTAACAGACTGGATTACCCCTGAGCCTACAACATAAGTCTGGCTTGCCCTTAGCCCACAGCTTATGTCTGGCTTGATCCCCGGCTTGATCAGTCCTCATAATGACTACCTCCAAGCCCTCAATACGAATCTGGCATGCCCTTCCCGGCCCTCAGCTCGTATCTGGAATGCTCATGAGCCCTTAGTATGAGTCTGGTATGCCCTCCCCGGCCCTCAGCGCATATCTGGTTTGCCCTAGGGTTTGTTGGCTACATCACGGAGCAGTACACCCTCAACCCAAAACCCACACAGTATGTCGACATATAACAGATAATATCATAAACAGATAAACAGATAGTATCACAGGTAGTCCTACAGATCTACCAGACTAGTATATCAAGACTAGCATGCATATCTATTCCATACTCAGCATATCAACAATATCAGGTTATCAAACCAATGGGCCGGCCTTGGTGCCTTCGTCCCGAAAGTACAGTGAGGAAACTCACCTCACAAGTTGAACATAACTGATAAGGCCTGACTCCAAATCTCATCTCTATACTCAATGGATACATCCACCAGGTGACCAATTCCATCAAAATCCCAAAATAACCAAAATACCCTCAAAAATCAAACTAGGTCAAACTCAAAGTCAACTGGTCAAAATCAATAAACCCACTGAGTCAACCCAACCAAATTAACTTAACATGGGCTGACCCATGCGAGTACATGGGACGTACTCCGGAGGTACGCTCAGCGTACACGAAGCTTCGCAGAAGACCACCATCGGGGTGGCTGACCGGGTACGCGGGGCGTACACCAGGCTACGCAGGGCGTACCCTCACAGACCCAACTACTCCATTAAGTGCTTAATGGCTTTAGCACTTGAGCTCATACTTCATATCCAAGGTCCAGAGACATACTAGGGTCATAAAGTTCTCAACTTTATGATTTTTGACGTCCAAAAAGTCTTTAATGAAAGGTCTTAATCCATTAAGACTTTCTACAAGAAACATGGAGCCAAAATAGCTAAATGGACCTCATTTTTATGGCTTGGGACCTTTCCTAGGGTCTGAAAGGACAACTCAAATCATCCAAAACCAAACATGCATAAGAATGAGACTTTTGAGACAAGAAGAACAACATAAAGCTACCAAAATGAGATCCAAACAGACAAAGCATCAAGGTGAAGACTTTTTACTTTCTGGAGCTTCCCAAGGAGGTAATGATCCAAGATCCATAAGCTTGCTTCAACTTCTAAGCTCCTTGATGCAAGTCCTTCTTTTTTATGCACACCAAGAACACTCTTAAAGGAATAGGGTTTGCCAAAAACGACTCAAGGGCTTTGGAGGCTGAAAAGGTGGGGGTAAATGAGCCATAAGGATGCTTAAATACCCTTCAAACCCTAAAACTTAGGGTTTCATTTGGACATGTGTACGCCCGACATACATATGTAACTCCTCCAGCATCAAAATTACAACCTTGCGACTAGGGCTTCTCATGGCTACTTCCTTCCAATCCAATGACCAAAATGACATAATTAAAAACCAAGGGACAAATTTGAAAATAATTGAAAACTGGGGTGTTACAGATAGATTTTTAGGTTTTTGGGTGTGGAGAATTCTGATAGTGAGTACCTCTATTTATAGTGCATATGCGCGCGACGCACTTCATGCACATCGTACACACAACTCGTGGCTCCATCCAATGCATGCCACATGTCACACTTCTGGTGTTCCACGTCTCTCCAATCTCAACGAATCAGGGTGTCAGAGGTGTACGTCGAGCATGGCGCACACTTGGCTTGCAGTGCTAAATTTTCTATAAAAATCCATATATTCCTTATATGAATCTTGTTTCTTACCCTCTTTATATATTTGTGTAGATCTCCACTAGTACTCATGGTTGTAAATATCGTCCTAGGCGGCCGATTAATCGGCGCCTAGGCGCTTGGCGGCCTCCAACCGCTTACGAATAAGGTTTAGAGGGTAAAATAATCGGCCTTAGTCAATATCGGTCAAAACTGGTCCAAATCAGACTAAATCGGTCCAACTCGGACTCCTAATTGGGCCAAATCTGTCCAGCTAACCATGGGCTCAAAAGAACCAGTTAGCCCACCGAGCATTTGGGTTTGATTTTGTAAAGGAACCTAAGTCTCCTTTTATAAGATATGTATGCCTTCATTTTCTGTCCCACCAGTGATGTGGGATGCCAAACTTGTAACCTTAACTTTTTTTTCACAACTCCATCGATGTGGGATGCCGACGGTGAAGCATGGGAATCCGATTGCTTTCATATGAATTGAAATCGCTCGAAACATGAAATCATCGACTGCTTTCTTCTCCAAGATGTGGACTCATCTTCTCCGACGACGCAACAATTCTGATTCACCTTCAATTCAAAGTCGGAAATTGGGACATCTGAGGTAAATTCGAAAACTCACGGGAACTCCGATTCATCTTCAATTCCACAGGAACTCCGATTCACATTCAATTCAAACTCATTCCATCTGTGATTCCGCTTTCTGTTAGATCGAAGGCGGAAATTGGAACTCCGATTTACCGTCTGAGGTTTGTGTCTCGATTATCAAGTGACTTATCAATTCGTTCTTCGTTTGAGGTGTGAGGTATGTGTCTCGATTGTCACAACCCCCTTGAATCTGTGATGCAGGTTAGTTCTTCAATGCATGATGCAAATTTTAATGGAACTCGTGTTCATGGATATATCAGGTATTGTAACGGAGTAGTGTAAATGAATTGATGTTTGTATTGTAATTGAATCCATCACAACAGGTGCACACCAACTGTTTGATATTTTGTCTCAGTGAAATTTGATTCACATTCCTTGTTTAATTGAATGATTAGTGATTATAGGGAGGGTTAAAATTGGAAGGAACATGCAACGACTTGTTTAATTCTCCACTTCTGCTTGTTTAATTTTGCGATTTGAGTTCTCCTCCAACCACTTCACCTTGTTTAATTAACTATTATGTTGTTTTGTAATTTGAGTTATCCACCCTATTCACTGTTAATTTGATTGATAATGTTTGGTTCATTGTTAATGAGTTAATTTGTTTTTAATGTGTTAAGGTTCCAATTGAAGGTTAGTGTCCAATTCCAGGTCTTTGAAACGAATCAACCAAAGAAGCCAACTGAAAGGGGTTTTTTTGTAATCATAGTTTCATGTTATAATGTTATATTTATTAATTTTTAATTGATAGAATTTTATATTTATTAATGTTATATATAATGTTATATTCTTAGGATTAATGCTATATTTATTAATTTTTTAATAATTAATGGTCTCCGATTAATCCCCCGATTAATCCCCGCCTAGCCGATTAATCCCTTGACCCCAGTGCACCACCGAGCTACCGTCGAGCGATTTTTGCAACCTTGCTAGTACTACAACTTTCCTTAAGGTTGCATTGTTAAATTTTAACTTTTATTTTTAACCTGTATTTTATATTTTTCCAAAAATCGTATCTTCTTTATACGGACTCCGTTTTTGACCTTTTTCTTTTCAAAGTTCTTATCTCTCAGAGTACTACGATTTTCCTTTTAATGACTTTAGCTAAAACTCAACTGATTTCTTTATACTATTTTGACTTTAATTACGTTAACAACGCGGTTGATTTTTACTTTTTATAAAATCATGACCCCTCCAATTGGAGTCAGATTTTTACGAAGTTTATATCCATGGGATCACATTACTGTGTACTTTCTAAATACACTACCCATTATTAATAGTGGTATTACTTTTTGGTCACTCATTTTTTACCCTATTAACCTTTTTCTTACTTATAAATCATAGCATATCTGATCATATTTTTCTAAAATATGAAAAACTCTATTGTTACCATTTGTCGATGCTAATCTCTAGTGACAGTTGTTGACAGAAATTTCCCAATTGTCACACCCCGGTGATTCCGCCCTCGGTGGGGGTGTGACAAAATTACCTCTATAAATCTATATTTGATCCTTTACCATGACTAGCAACTAATGTATAATTCATTATAGCCAATATACAACTAAATCCCCCCCCCCTCCTTCATTTTAAGATTGAATTTGACCATTAATTAATCAAATAGAAACACAATGATATTTTACACTAAACTTCAAGCATTAGAATCAACTCAAAGCATCAAATTAACAATGAAATTCATATTACAAAAGCTAGGGTTTATATTCACTTAAAATCTTCATCAAAACTCCAAACATCTATGATATAAGTTGTTTCTTGAAGAGTGATTAAGGAAGGTAATAGAGCTTAGAAATTTTATAAAATCTATAAATCAAACCTAGGTTTAAATATTAGAAGCCTCAACTCAAACCCTATAAATGGAATTGAAGAGATTAAGAGAAGGAAACTACTTTAGATTATTAGGCAATAAAGAATAAGAGCTAAATATCCATATAAGCTTAAAATCCAAATATTTTTTTATATTCTAAATTAGCTTTCCAAAATTAAATATTCAACACAAATATTATTTAAACTAATAAAAAAATTTATTTTATTATTTTAATAATTATTTTTTTATCTTCAAAAAATAAATTTTCAGTAAAAATATGCAAAACCTCTAGGCCAAAATCAGGATATTACACAAAATAAAGGGATAATGGAATCTACATATTTGCTAAAACTAGTAAGATTAGGAAAATATACATATGCAACATGAGGTATATTGAGGATAATTCTATTGAAATATAAGGAAATTAAAATAAAACGAGGTAGTTGAAACTCTAGTCTACTAGTGAGGGAATAGAATAGGGATACCACTAAGATTCATCGACGATCATAGTGATTATCCCAATCGTATAACATATTATTTTTTAACAAGGATATTATACTTGTGAAGAAATAGAATATGGATGACACTAAGAGTTTCAAGAGGTCATATCGAGTATCCCCATAAATCAAAAATAAAGAAGTGGACATGGATTCAACTTCAAAGAGGACGAGGAAGGAAAAAGTTATTATTACTAACCAGATGTCTATCACGTTATGGTTGTGCTTAGGGAGGAAGGTTTTTGGTGACTGACACACCTCTTTAACATTATCCTAAGTTAGACAAGATTTTATTTCCATGTAGATCAAACATTATGATATGGTTTATAAGAGCAAAGGAGATGAGCTAAGATGGGTAAACTATAAGGTATTAAACTTCTTAGTTGTACCTTGAAATCATTTTAAAGAGTGTTAGATACTAAGTTAAGAAGAGAAAAAATGGTTTCTGAAACCTATTTATCTTAGTATATGAGAGGTCAGCTACTAAGGAGATCTAGCCTCCTCTGCCCAAAAGATAAATTTACAGAAAGAAATAATGATCTCTAAATAGAGTTAATCGACCCGGGGAAGATGCATAATAATGTCCCAAGGGAGAGGACATGGATAAACGTTGAAGCTAGAACGGTTCTTGGGAGCTATGTCAAGGCTAAAGATGGTATATCATCTTGGTCTTCGACATGTTTCCATGATGTATAATACGACACAAAGTCTTTTCCTGTGGGAAATAGACTTCACCAGGGATCAATGATTTGCCTTTACATACCCTCTTTAACGATAAACAAGACTTTTTGAGATATTCAAGAGGGTACCTTAGTGTATGATTTTTGACAACGATGTTATTTTTGTGGCAAGAGACTAAGATTGAATTTCATATTATGTTGAAATTTTTCAGACGGAGATAAAGAAAGTTAGGTCCACACAATTAAGATTATATATATATATATATATATATATATATATATATAATATATATATATATATATAATAATGGATTTCGATAAGAGGAAAATGGTAAATGAGTATACATGGCGTCTATAATTCATAATAAAAAGGTGCTCAGGAAGATATTTCCCTCCATATAAAGATAAGATGATTAAAATGGATAGCAACCATAAGAGTAATGTGTGATAAGAAGACCTCGATGAACCTAATGATTAAATTTTATAGATTAATTGTATGCCATGTTTTGTTATATGGTTCTAAATGTTGCTTGACCAAGAATGAGCATGCTAGGTATGGAGCTCGGATAAATTAGGATGTGGTGGTAGACATGTAAGTAAAATTCTATTGGACAAGGTTTTGAATACATTAATCATGAGTTTTGTTGAAAGTAGTGCCAATCACTAAAAAAGGTAGTTAGAATGAAGATTGTAGCAGTATATACATAGACGTGAGGTTAGACTTAGAGAAGTTGGCTCTTTCGAGTACATAGCATCTTATAAGATGGTGTTTAAGTTAAAATCAGGGTAATGGAGTAATCTATTAGTAGTCGAGGAACTTGCTTCCTTTTAATTATTTGTGCATGTCATTCAGATTTTACTTCCTTATTTTTGTCAGCTTTTACTTCCAGCTAATTTTACCTACTCACACATGTACCTCATTTTACTTCCAACTTTTACTAAAAAGGTAGTTAGAATGAAGATTGTAGCAGTATATACATATATGTATAACTTATATGTAGTATTTTCTTCTTCACACATCACTGGTTATTTCTTCATTGTGGACTGACATTTCATTTGGAAAAGATCATACAATATTTTGCTACACAATAGGAGTTTGTTGATTGAGCTACGAAATTCCACATTGAAAGTTCAAGGTTCAAACTCTAACATACTCAAAATATTGTTAATGTTCTGCATATTGACCTTTCATATGGGGCTTGAAGATGGTTAATATGAATTGTTCAAATGTTATGATTTACTATTTTTTAATATATTATAGCAATCTCCGGTGCATACATCTTGCATCCTTTTTACCTTAATTGTTATGATACTAGAGTACATAGTAGTGTTATTGTTGTATTAGTTAAACTCACTTATAAAAATTGATCCACTTCTTATATTATTCTTCCATTGACATTCAAAAGATACACGTTTTGATAGTTATGTAGTTTAATAAAAACTGTTGGACACACCAAATGCCTAAAATACCTATCAACATGTGAAAACATGTATACTAAGGACCAATCATGCGAGAGTATCCGGCGATGGCTGCAGCATGCTATCAAAAAAGAATCCTTATTCTAATAAATGAATAGTGTTAATATCTTTTTGCCAAGTGTCACTCTGATACAACTCCTCATTAATATTATGTCATGTGTCATGTAGATATATTAGGCAACTCATTAATATATTAGGCAACTCATTTCAAATTCAAATTTACATTTTCTAATTATATGTTAAATTTGAAATTATAATAACTTTAAAAAGTTGATATATCTTTTAATTAATAATTTATTTATATGACTTATTTAAAATAACTGATTAATAATTATAGTTTTTTATTATAAAATTTTAATTAATTTTATAACTGTGAGAACAAATTCTATGCGCAGGGACAAGGTTTAAACCTTGAGTGAATGCTTGAGATCAATGTCTGCTTGATAATGGATGTTCAAGTCTAGACTGGAAAGACCAGTCAAGTCTTAGATGATCAGTTCAACAAATGATCAAGACATTAATTGAGAACAAGTAGATAATGATCAAGGTAAATTTAATAAATGAAGAACAAGAAGAATGTTTTTCATGTGATAAGAGTAAATACCAAAAGTAAGAGAAAAGATATGTAGTTGACTTGTATTGAAAGCTCCTACTTATAGGAGAGAATGTTACAACGAA